GCAGGTCCTCCTGCCCTGGGCCTCCCAAGGTCTCCCCCGTCCTGTCCGGCCCCCCACTGCTCTGCTCCCTGCTCCTTGGGGTTCCCGCAGCTCTCAGCTTTCTGTAGGAAAGTCTCTCTAACTTTTATGAATGAGATACTTTTGCATCTCTTGGGAAAACTGGAGCATTCCATTCAGTATCCATTTTACAGAAAGCCAGACAGCTCCATTCATAAACAAAACGCATTCAGCTACAGCTCCCACAGAAGGCTGAAGCTGATGGGATTAAAAGCAAAAAAGCAAAGACTCCTGAACTCTACATTCTCCCCGGTGGTGGGATTCAATTTTATTTTACTACCGGTTCTGTGGGCGTGGCTTGGTGGGCGTGGCTTGGTAGGAGTGGCAGGGGAAGGATGCTGCAAAATCCCCATTCCCTCCCCACCCCACTGACCCGCTTTCCAGCTCCGTTCTCCTGTGCAGGGCAACAAAAGAAGACCCAGCCGATCAGCTGGGACTCGATGGGAGGCAGAGAAGAGATGGGGTTGGTGAGGCCAGTCAGAGGTGGGATTGGCCGGTTCTCCCAACTACTCAAAATTTTCACCACCGGTTCTCCAGAATTGGTCAGAACCTGCTGAATACCACCACTAATTCTTCCCCCTCTCCCCCAGCTCCAAGGACAAGGCACGACCTCCCAGCTACAATGGTAGTCAGCCAACAATAATTAGAATACTAAAAGGGCAGACTCAAGCCCAGGTCAAAATACATTGCACAGGAACAAGCATCTCAATCAAAAAGCCCCAAAGTCCCACCTAATCTCAACCCCATTTTGGCATGCTGCTATCACTAGTTTCTGGCTACCAAGTGAACAGAATCCTTCTTTCTTTCAGCCTGACTCCATTTTATTTCTGCGTCCTTCTCCCAGCTTGGAATAGGATCTGATTTTAATGCCAACATTTCCTCCAGAGGCTGCCTCATAGTAACCTTATGCTATAAGCCGGTGCTATTCTTGCGGTTCTCTAGCAGACTCTGTTTTTTTTAAAGAAGGCTCTGGAAACTCTACAAACAAATTAAGATCACTGGAGGGTGGTGAGAATAGCACTTGCCTGCAGAGTAGCACAGGGCTGCCACAAAGCCCTGTGTGTCAAGTATCAAGCTTGGGAAAATCAGGAAGTTCAGGCAGTTCAAATGAACATAAAGGTTTCTTGCAAGCTTATGGTCTCTACAAGGCCATAGCAATTACTAGTAACAGTCAAAGCAAATAGACGATAGATAAGAATCCGTGGAATTCAAGGGCGGCTGGATAGATCTCTTGGGGGTGCCAAGGGTGTGTTTGATCCCTCCCTTGGACTCAGCCGGCTCATCTCCTACGGGCAGCCTCTGGAGGAAACTGAGCCTTGTCCTGTTTTGCATCCACCAGGTGCCTCTGCAATAAAGCTGGGTGTTTCTGGGCTCCGGAGTTGTCTGAGGAGCAGACAAGTTCCTGCAAGTCTCTGGGTGGCCAGATGGAAAGCAGATCTTAGCCTCCAAGCTGTGAAGACCCCACAAGCTGGTACTTTCTGCTGCCTGGGTTTAGGCTCCCTTGGATAGCTGAGTGGCCTAGTTGGGAGCTAAAGTCCTGCAGGGAGCTGGTGGGATGGGTGGGGGAGATAGTGGGGAGGCACTGACATGGTTGTTTGTATATGTGAATAATTGGGGGAGGGGGGCACTGCGGTGGCCATAACTTTGAAACTGAATCATAAATAGCCTTTGGGGAGTCTGTCATTCTGGCTGCGACAGAATCTCTAAATGTTGCCAAATGAAAACTACCAAATGTGTGATGTGCTAGGACTCTGGAATTCAATATTGTCTAGATCTTTCTTCCATACTGAATAGAATTCTAATTCTCTTAAAGACAGGGGTCCCAAGAAGCAAGCTGTGTGCTCTTGTTTGGCCGCCATCATGCCACACCTCCTAGCTTATCCTAGACGTGATGGAGTGAACGGTCCTTTGTCCTTCAGCTTAAAGCCAGCTTGTAATGGAGCACATTTCCAGATGCTGTGAGAGATCCATCAGGTTCCACGTTCTGTCAGTTCAAATTGCTTCCCAAGAGTTTTATGTACAGTTTTGTTTGCTCAGTTGAATTGTTTGCTTACTAAGGAACACGCTCACTCTACTGAATATACTCTTAATGTTTCACATTCATTTTCCCTCACTTGGATCTGAACTTCAAAGTTTTAATTAGCTGCTGAAGTCTCTCAGGGCTTTGCAAAACTGCTTGGAACTCACGGGGTGGAGAAAGCTTTTCTTGCAAAAGAGAAAGAGGAGGCAGCCAAACATGATTCAAAGGCAAGTTACTGTGGAAGGACTCTCACCTTTCAAGAGAAGGACGGTATCCTGCTGGGACAAAAGCCTCTGGTTTTGCAGCAGAAACTCACAGGGCTCTGCAAATAATTATGCCTCGAAGCAAGATCTTCCTCATTGACTTCCAAATTACTACTGATGAAAAATCCTTGGGAAGGGAATTCCAGAGCTAGGTGCAGGCACCAAAAGTTCTTCCCTATAGTCCAATGAGTTCTTAAAATATACAGTAATTATTTTATTGCAAACTGAAGGACAAACTGAGGAACAAAAGAGACAAGTATTAAAAAAAACGGGAAAAGGGGCACATAAGTAGAACAGAATACCAGCCAATAGCTCAGTTCTACAAGAACCAGAGTCGGGAAAGATAAGACTCAGTTCCAATTTTCCAAAGGAGAAAAAGGGAATCCAGGAAACTGTAGACCAATCAGCTTGATATCAATCCCTGGGAAAATATTGGAAAAAAATAATCAAACAGCTGATTTGTGAGTACTTAGAAATGAATAAGGCAATCACTAGAAGTCGGCATGAGTTTGTTAAAAACAGATCCTGCCAGATCAACCTTATTGTATTCTTTGACAAAGTGACTAAATTAGTGGATGTAGTAAACATGGCATTTGACAAAGTAGACTACTTTTTGGTAACCTTCTTTTTGGTAAGATAGAAAAATATGGGACAGACAGCATCACTACCAGATGGATTTGTAACTGGCTGACAAACCACCCTCAATTTGTAGTCCTTAATGGAACTACATCTACATGGAAAGAAGTAAGCAGTGGGGTACCTCAAGATTCTGTCTTACACCTAGTCCTCTTCAACTTCTTTATAAACAATATAGATGAGGGCCAGGATAGGATGCAAATATTTTTACTACCGGTTCTGTTGGCATGGCTAGATGGGAATGGCTAAGTGGGCGTGGCCATGTGACTGGGTGGGCATGGCTTCTTCTTCTTCTTCTTCTTCTTCTTCTTCTTCTTCTTCTTCTTCTTCTTCTTCTTCTAG